TCTGCTCTCAGAGACTAGTGGAGAGTCGTCGACAGCAGATCCTAAAGGAATTTGAAGAGCTTCATCGGCGGCTGGATGAAGAGCAGCAGGTGTTACTTTCACGACTAGAGGAGGAGGAACAGGACATTCTACAGCGCCTCCGAGAAAATGCTGCTCACCTTGGAGACAAGCGCCGGGACCTGGCCCACTTGGCTGCTGAGGTGGAGGGCAAGTGCTTACAGTCGGGCTTCGAGATGCTTAAGGTTCGACCTTTGCCCCTGCATAGCCCCTCAGGCCAAGCGCAGTCTAGCTTTGCACAGGCCATTCTGTCAGCCTGCAATGCTCACTCCTCCGCTCTGCCTCTCTAAATCCAATTCTTTCTTCCAGACAGGCTCAAAGGATCTTTCGCTACAGAAAGCCTTCTCTGATTTCTCCCATCCCCTTCTGATCATTTCGGTGTTCTTATGTCTTGTCAACAATTATGTGCTTAACTTGTACCAAAGAAAAAATTCACTCTTTTGAGAGGAGGGCAGTCTAGTCTGAATTAGTGAAAAAACTATGCATTAAAAATTGTGTAAATGCAGTAACCGTTACTTTTAAGTCCTGGAACTTGATTTACCTAGTGCACAGAAAGAACAGAAGCATAGTTTGAAGGACACTTGAAATAATGTATAAGTAATATATTGCTTTTGATATGTAAATGGTGCCTCTAAAATGTTTGAAATAATCTGTTTTCTTAAGCAAATGAATGGTCTTAGCAAGGCTGTAGGAAACATATTTCTTATCTTAGAGATCACATTACCAGCATTTGAATCAGTGAGGCTTCGTTGTACATTTATCTGCATGTTATATATTGCTTGGTATTTACTCTCATGTCCTTTCATGTATGTGTGTTCTGCCTTCCACATTAAACTGGGAAATCCTTGGGGGGCAGAGATTTGTCTTCTTTGTCTTCTGGACCCCAAGTATTCACAAATCAGGATTGGCACACAGTTATTAATATTTATTAACCAATACTAGACAAGGGATACCAAACCACAACGGGAGAGTGTGATTCGTTCCTATGCCAGCCGTCTGGAACTATCTGTACTGATCCTCAAGGAGACAGGTGTGTGGTTGGTACTTGGGGGACAGAGTAAAGAGCAGACACAATCCCTGTCCCTGGCATTGAGTCCCAGTGTTCTTGAGGAACAAAGACAAGCACACAAGAAACTATTTGGAAGTGATATCAGTTACCAAGCTTCATGATGACTGAGAGTTGAAAGTGGGGGTTAGGTTGGGAGAGATGTACTCAGATCCCTCTGGAGCTCGTCCCCTTGCACTGTGACCCATAGTTTGCCTTATGCCTATTTAATAGATCTAGAACTTTTGGGAGGAGGGAAACCTTTTGCCTTTAGGACCCTTGACTACCAGGACCAATATTGCTTTCTTTTCTCCTTCCTCTAGGATGTCAAAAGTACCCTGGAAAAGTAAGTGATTCTTGTATCTCTTTGAGTGAGTTAGGTCTTGGCTTAAAGAGTAGGGCTACAATAAGGAGTTGGGGGAATAAGGATGGGAAAGTCATGCAGTGTCTGGGTAGAAAAAGGGAGAAGGTTTATTGCATTCATGAAGCCAGTTAGAGAGCAAATCTAACTGGGAGTACTAGTCCCTTACCTTTTCCCCTCTGAGCATCAGGACTTCCTAGATACAAAGATAATGAAATAGAACCAGATTCTACCTGGGCCTATGGGTGGAATTGTGTCCAAACAAGATGGAAGGAGGAACTGGTTGGGGGCGGGGGGGAGGTGGTTATCTATTTGCATGAAATATAACAGTACCTCCAGAAAGTTCTAAGACTGATTATTAAGATAAGGGTTTGTCTAGGGGACCGTATGGCTTTCCATAGATAGGCAAAAGAAAGCAATAAGCAAGAACTTGTCTTGAGGGAGGAGAAAGTGTGAGGATGGAGAATTGTAGTTTCTCCCTAGAGATGACAACATCTGAATACTCAGTAAGCTGGAGCTTCCCCTGACCCTGCCCTTTCTTCCCCTATCTTCCCATCCCTCCTAGATGTGAGAAGGTGAAGACCATGGAGGTGACTTCAGTATCCATAGAGCTGGAAAAGAACTTCAGCAATTTCCCCCGACAGTACTTTGCACTAAGGAAAATCCTTAAACAGCTAATTGGTGAGTTGTTCCCAAAAGGAAACTAGCAGAGGGAATCGATAGAAGAAAGTCTTTAGGTCCTACTTTATCTGGACTTCACTCATCCCCTCTGTCACTTTTCATGTCCATATTCACACCCACTCCTTTACCTGGTTTTCAATCTCACTCTGAGTCACAGAACTCAAAGTGAGAAGCCTCAGGTGTCATCTACTCTTAGTCCCATACTTTTCTAAATAGGGACCCAGAGAGGTTAAATAATTTGCTGAAACTGGTCCCCTCTTGAGAGTGAAAGGGAGTCTTATTAATACTTACTTGGAAAATAGTCATAAGCCAGACTGTCCAGGGAAACAGACACATGGTCACTGTATCGCTAGACTATAATGCTATCTGGCTCTGTACCCTTCTTAACATTTTATTTTTTCTTACCATTGGACTGTGCCTTGTGCTTCTCCACACAGTGAGATGGATGATGATGTCAGGGGGGATGGAGGGAGGACCAGGCAGGAGCCTAAACCACCAGCCCTTGCAGAGTCAAGAGATCATTACCTGTTTATTTTAGGGCCAGGATGAGAAACGAAGCCATTGTTCCCTCCCCTCCCCTCCCTTAGGTGACACCAAGGATTGAGAAAGTTAAGCAAACCACGGGGTTCTGGGGGCTTTCAGGGAGCAGGCTCTGCAAAGGCAGGCTGGAAGAGTGAGGCAGGGGCGTTTAGCTATTCCCGTCCTCATCTAGCTCCCCACTCTGGCTTCTCCCGCCAGCGGATGTGACCCTGGACCCTGAGACTGCTCATCCTAACCTAGTCCTGTCGGAAGATCGTAAGAGCGTCAAGTTCGTGGAGACAAGACTCCGGGATCTCCCTGATACACCACAGCGTTTCACCTTCTACCCTTGTGTCCTGGCTACTGAGGGTTTCACCTCAGGTCGACACTACTGGGAGGTGGAGGTGGGCGACAAGACCCACTGGGCAGTGGGTGTGTGCCGGGACTCTGTGAGCCGAAAGGGCGAACTGACCCCACTCCCTGAGACTGGCTACTGGCGGGTGCGGCTGTGGAATGGGGACAAGTATGCAGCCACTACCACACCTTTTACCCCTTTGCACATCAAGGTGAAACCCAAGCGGGTAGGCATATTCCTAGACTATGAGGCCGGTACACTGTCTTTTTACAACGTCACAGACCGCTCTCATATCTACACCTTCACTGATACTTTTACTGAGAAACTTTGGCCCCTCTTCTACCCAGGCATCCGGGCTGGTCGGAAGAATGCTGCACCACTTACCATCAGGCCCCCAACAGATTGGGAGTGACAGGTAGGGACGTGGGAATAATCAGGGTGAGGCAGGGTCAAGAGCTACGGGCCTTCCTTCCTGTGACCTGCTGGAACGTCTTCGTGTCTGCCTGGTTCCAGTCCTGAACCATCTGGGAGAACACCTTGGTTTCTAGAATGGTTTATGGGGAGGAGTAGTTAGGACTGGGCTGGGACGAGAGCACTGCAGTGTCTCCCTCCTCACTGTTAGGGTGGAGAGCTGGTTCCCAGGGGGTAGTCTCCTCTGAAGTCCATCAGGTTTTCTATTGCACAAGGATGGGTTGGAAGGAAGGAGAGGCTTTTCCAGAAACAACAAGTCTGTGGGAGGGTCTGACTTGCTCAAACCAGAGGAGGAAACAGAACCCCCTGTACATCCTTTTAGGGGGTTCTTTGACCCAAAACAGTCTTGTTTTTTTAGGAAGATCACAGGGGTCTTGGTACCTCTAAATTGAAATAAAGATGAATGACAGTTGCTCTCGTGGGTGTAGAAGTTGAGGAGTTATTTTCAGGGCAGAGATTGGGCATCAAGAAGGTTAGAAATAAGGTCAGGAAAGGGGGCTAAGTGAACAGATTCCTAAAGAATCATAAAGGGGAGAAGGGTTTCTTTGGTTGCCATTATGAGTAGGATTGGCCAGAGGTAGGAATGTGGGGAGGAGGGGGTAGGAAGAAAGAGAACCCAGGTCCCTGCCTTAGCCTTCAGCAGAGATGGCTCATCGCCCACCTCCTTGTAGTTGCTCATCTCCAAGAGCTGTTACCTTGCTCATCTGGAGAGGCAAGATGCAAGAGATCCTGCAAGACACATCTACCCTTTCACTGCTTTCCCAAGGGAACTTGGAAAGGAGAGAGTCAGGTATTAGAGGAAAGAGAAAAGTATTACTATCCAAAGCCCTGGCCTTAAAGAATGCTACTAAGTAGCTACTCCCAAGTTGTCAGCCTTGTTACCTGGCTAAGGTGTCCAAGCCAGACAGGGAAAAAGAAAACGGAGTCTTCCCACCCTGGGGACAGGGTAGAAGAGGGTGGTATGTATAGGGAAGGGCCAGATAGGCAATTTCCTTTGGCCTGTGTGCATCTGGCCTGGAACTAGTGTTCACAAGAGCCGGATTTTGTTTGTTGCCATCCTTCACCTTTTGCCATATCTCATATCAGAGAATGTAAATCATTTTAATGTTAGGCCAAAATAAACAACCTGTAGGGTACATATGTTGTCAAAAAAGGTAAAGCAATGCATGCCAAACCAAACTAAAATGACTGGATTATCTGCTACTTGGGTAATCAGGGGTTCACAGAAGATTAGGACAAGAAACTGCAGTTTATTGAGGGCATTTCAGCTCCTCCTACCACCTCAACAGGACTTTGTCCAGACTCTCCTCTTACCTTTGTGCCTTGACTGTGGTTCTTTGTGGCAAGATGCTTTGGTTGGTAAAACATAATATGGAACAAAGGATCCACTGAAGTGATCTATGTGTCCTGTGTTAATTTGATGATAATCTCTGTTGATGTGTAAGAAATGGGTGTTAAAAATGCATGTTCCTTGGAATTCCCTGGTGATCCAGTGGTCAGGACTCCACGCTCTCACTGTCAGGGGCCCAGGTTTGATCCCTGGTTGGGGAACTAACATCCCACAAGCTGCACGGCGTGGCGAAAAAAAAAAAAATGTGTTCCTGGAGCTCACCTTCAGTGATTGATCAAGGTCTGGAGTGGGCCTGGGCATCTACCTTTTAAACACTCCTCATTTGAGCCTGGAGACACTTGTGAAACTAATCTGAGAGGAAATTTCAGCCATTTCCTTCAAACTGGAGGCCTGGTTCCCTGTCCAGCCTGATGGGGGGTGAGGATGAGGGGGTCTGAGAGGAGAGAACCCTCATTCTCTCCTGACTTATTCTGCCCTCTCCCCATCTCAGGATTTATTCATGTTCTATCCCTCTCCTTAACCTCAGGAACAAGTGGTTATTAACTATGAAGCAGAAGTAATCACAGGATGTCAAACAGAGCAAAGGAGTGGCAGAGGTCTAAGGGAGGGAAGTGAGGAAAGCGTGTGGAACACTACAGGGGATATTTTTTCGAGGGCAGGGGATGCCGTTGACAGGTTTCTTCCAGTACCTAAGACCAGGAGTTAGTGAGGATCACCTACTTACTGTGTGTCCAGCACTGCATTTTGGTAAGTGGAAAAGATTGGGAGTAAGCTGTGCTTTCTAAGGGCCAGGAGCCCTCTTCCCTCCCTCCACTGCCCTCAAGATCCTTTCCAATTTCACTGTCTCTGGCACTAGTGGGTTTTTTAATGTATCAACTGCTCCTTCATCTGTAGGTCTTCCGGGCATCTGCCTTTGGCTTCAGGAGCATAGGGCAGGAGGTCTAGCCCGGTATATATTGCACATAACCATCTCCCCAACCTATCTGCATAAAGAGACCAGTCTTCTGTCCTGAAGATGTTTAGCAGTTTAAGATTCTCTCCAGTCTCTACCTAATATAATCATGGGCTTGAGGAAGACTAAAAGGAAGCCAAAACTCATAAAGGAACCCCTGGCTTGGATTGTAGGGGATGGTGTGGGTTTGCAAATAGATGGGTCTGTGAGGCCGCAGGGTGTCGCCAGAGTAAGGACGGCACAGGAGCGCGCACGGCACCAGGAACTACAGTTCCCAGGAGGCCTTGCGCGGACGCCCGGGAGCGGGGCTACCCTAGGGTGGGGCCTGTGGACTGCGGCGTGTGGGGAGCTATCGCGGCTCGGATGGCCGGGCAGGTGAAGGACCGCGAGGCCTTCCAGAGGCTCAGCTTCCTGTACCAGGTGAGTCCGCGTTGCGGCGCACGCACAGGGAGGCGGCCCAGTGCGGAGGGCCCCCACTGACGGCTCCTTCCCTCAGGCTGCCCACTGCGTCCTCGCGCAGGACCCCGAGAACCAGGCACTGGCGAGGTTTTACTGCCACACGGAGAGGACCATAGCGAAGCGGCTCGTATTGCGGCGGTGAGAGGGGTGCGGAGCCCGGCGGCGGGCTGGACGGGGGAAGGAGGGGAGAGGGAGAGCGGGCGCCCAGACCACCACCCACCTCCGCCCCCAGGGACCCTTCGGTGAAGAGGACCCTCTGTCGCGGCTGCTGTTCCCTCCTCATCCCGGGCCTGACCTGCACCCAGCGCCAGAGACGTGAGTGCTCCCTCCCGCCGAGGTGGGATGTTTGAGGAACACCTGTGGGCTGGGGGAGGGCACGGGCAATGATCCATTCCTCGATGTAGATGGGTGCCAGGTGTGGTATTTGGAGGCGTCGGCTTTCTCCAGCTCTGAGTTAACAGCTTAACTCCACTTGGACAGACTAGGTCTGGGCAGTAGAGAAATGATGTTGCCATGAGAAGCAACCTCGCCCGTGCATGATAATAGATGTTATTCGACGTCATGGAGGACATGATTCCCATATTCATTCATTCATTCAACAATTATTTTTCTGAGATGTGTCAAGTATTGCTCTAGAGTCATTATTCTCATGAAATTATAGTCTGATGGGACAGACTAAGACAGAAACAATTAGAATAGCGTAGAAAAATGCTTTAATTAGGGAAGTAGAATACTAAGTTACTTAAACCAGTGATGGTGAGGTTCATTATAAGGGAAGGGAGTGGGAGATGGAAATCCTAGGCATTTGTGAGGCCTCAGACAAGAGAGCTTGTGGTGCTGTCAAGGAACTGAGAGCCCAGGAGGCTGGCTCTGAGGTGGGCAAGGGCAAGACAGGAGGCGGGAGAGGGAAACAGGGCAGATCTTGAAGAGTCTTGTTAAGGAGTTTGGACTTTATCTTAAAGGGTACCAAGAGGGTCTTCCCTGGTGGTCTAGTGGTTAAGACTCCGCGCTCCCAATGCAAGGGGCCCAGGTTCAATCCCTAGTCAGGGAGCTAGATCCCGCATGCAGCAACGAAGATCCCGCAAGACCCGCACGACCCGCACGACTCGCATGCTGCAACAAAGATCTCGCGTGCTGCCACTAAGACCTGGCACAACCAAATAAATAAAGGGTACCAAGAAAATGACAGACTTTATGCAGAGACCTGACACCATCAAATCAAGGTGGGGAGGGAGTAGAATCCCTACTGGAAAACGGTGGAGGCAAAACTGGGTGCAGGAGACCTTTTCTTTTCCTAAACCTGGGCACTCTCTTTTCCCCACATGCACCCCAGGCTGCAAGGCTCAGCGCTGGACTGTACAGACCTGCCTGACATGCCAGCGCAGCCAACGGTTCCTCAACGATCCTAGGCATCTGCTCTGGGGAGACCGGCCTGAGGCCCAGCTGGGGAGCCAGGCAGGTGAGAGGTGGTTGAGAAAATGGGGGGTACCCCAGGGGAGTAGGGACAGTGGGTAACATAGAGCTGTGGTGGACACATTGGTGGGTTCTGGGTTGGTGTGAAAGGTGCCACAGTCTTAAAAAACTAATTCTGCTCATCTACTCAGATCCCAAACCACCACAACCCCTGCCAAACACAACCCACCGCATTCCAGCCCACCTTCCTGAGGAGAAAGTGCAGCCTCAGAGTTCCAATCGCCAGTGATGGATTCACCCCGTCTTCCAAATAAATTTTAATTCTCTTTAACTTTGCATGATTCTGTTCTGTATTTCAGCTCTTAACTCCATTTTCCTCTGTTTCTGTCTGTATTTCTCTGTCACCAGCTAACCTCTTCTTTGTCCTTTTAGTCCTTTGTCATTATCATCCTCATACTCCCACCATTCAGGGAGATCCCAATTACCACTTGGCCCCATGAAGCAGCTCCCATTTCCAGAACCCTGCCTCCAGTGCCCCTCCACCCCTGCTTCCTCAGTGCAGTGCCACGATTGGAACGCAGGCTCCGGGGTTGTCTGCGAGGCCCTGATCCTCCTTAAGGCAGTCCATTTTTAGGTAGCCCTGACTGTTGGCTAAAGGGCTGGACAGACAGACCGCTGATGCCACTGATGCTGTTTTTAAAGGAGGGAAAAAAAGTTTGGGTGGGATTGGTGGAGGGAGGGTTTAGATTCTCCAGGCCCACTTCCTTTTGGGTCTTTTCCCAATCTCTGTGTTTTCTTCTATAAAATTCTAATAAGAGGGGGCTTCCCTGGTGGCGCAGTGGTTGAGAGTCCGCCTGCCAATGGAGGGGACACGGGTTCGTGCCCCGGTCCGGGAGGATCCCACATGTCGCGGAGTAGCTGGGCCCGTGAGCCATGGCCGCTGGGCCTGCGTGTCCGGAGGCTGTGCTCTGCAGCGAGAGAGGCCACAACAGTGAGAGGCCCGCGTACCGCAAAAAAAAAAAAAAAAAAAAAATTCTAATAAGAGAAGTTGTACAACCTGAACTAATAAAGTCAAAGGTACTAACAAACGGACACTGTCAAATATTACACAAGTAAGTTCTGTAGGTAAACCTTCAAGGTTTTCTTGAGAATCAGTAAACAACCAAAATTGTTTTATTTGCTATCCCTGGACAATTTACTCGAAGTCAGAATTTCAGACTGACCTCTTTGCTAGGTGCCAGCTAATCAGTTTACCCCAAAAGTAGACAAACAAAATTCACTCTTCCCAGAATGCAGCTTCCTCTCTTCCCTTTCTCTTGTAAATCCTGGTTGCACTTATTCATTGCTGCATAAAAATCACTGCATAACGTTGTAGCTTAAAACAGCAATGATGTGTTATTTCCCCTGATTCTGTGGGCTAGACTGATTGAGGGCCTGTCTGGGTGGTTCTTCTGTTCCGTATGGCATCAGCTGGAATCACTCAGCTGCATTTAGCTGGAGGCTGGTACCTGGTCTGGAAGACTCAAGAAGCTTCATTTGCATGTATGCACCTCATTGCTTCTCCATGTGGCCTTGCTCTGTAACTGGCCTTGACGTCCTCACAGCATGGCTGTCTCTGGGTGGTTGGACTTCCTTACAAAGCTTCTGGCTTCCACAGAGAGTATTCCAAGAAGACAAGCTCCACGGTGCAAGTGCTTATCAAGCCTCTGTCCTCGTCACGCTTGCTAATGTCACCTTGACCAGAGTAAGTCATGTGGCCAAGCCCACGTTCAGTGTGGAAGGGGCTACACTGGGGCGTGGATACTTGGAGGTTCATTGGTTCCTTGAGGACCACCAGTGTAGCAGTCTACCACATCCTTGTTTTGCCTTTGTCCCTGACTCATTCTCTTCACTGATTCCTTCACATGCCAGTACACTGTTTGCATGGAAAATACTTATCAGTGTGCAAGTAACTAAATGTTTCTAAGTTATTCTTTGACGTTTATTTCTGGAGATAGTACTCAACGGGTCAACTGTAGCAGCCAACACAAACATGTAGCCTGAAGGTGCACCCCATGCAGGCCTGGACCCTTTGTGTCCTCAGCTCACCTTCCTTGGTTCCCTCCTTGAGTGTCATTTCTGAGCTGGTTGGTTCTTATGCACTAAATCTGATTCTTGGCCAAGTTGTTTTGAGTGTGTTTATGATTGCACATGACTGAACATGTCCACAGTGGGATAGCACTGGGGTTCCTCTAACTAGAGATCATAGCCCTCTTCCTCCTCCTCCCAAAACTCTGTCCTTTTTCATATTTACTTATTATGATAGAATAGTTGTCAGTATGTGCAAAAATGGATTTCCTATAACAAAGAGGAAATCAAAGCCCTATTATTCAATAGTTTAATGTTTCTAAACAATAATTCAAAATCTGTGCTCTTTTAGGACCTGTTAGATAAAATTAAATAGAGGAGAGAGAAGAAACTTATGTCATCCCAACTGAATCAAAAAAACAAGGTCTGGGAATTCCCTGGCAGTCCAGTGGTTAGGACTCTGCACTTCCACTGCAGAGGGCTCGGGTTCCATCTCTGGTTGGGGAACTAAGATCTGGCAGGCCGCATGGTGTCGCCAAAAAAAAGGAAGCGAAAAAGATTTGAGGAAGGTAAGGGATCTAGTCATTGTTGGTTCAAAACCTCAGGAGCTTCCTAGGTAAAATCTGAAACCAGCCCCTGTACATGGAGAGCAAGGAGAGATCAAAGAAAGAGGCAGACCACTCCAGATTGGTAGGTGGCAGGTTTAAAATAAGCAAGGAAACTTACATACGAAGCTTTGTCTTGGGCAGCAGCAAGACGAGTTAGACCTCCACACTCACCCACCAGAATCTTAAAAAGTTTATATAGAGGCCTTAATAGGGTTCAGTCATGCCTTCAGTCCAGATGGTGTCAACAACACCTTGCTCTCTCAAAGCTATGCCCTTGGAACAGCTCCCACTGTGGGAACAGTGGGCAGAACTCACACTCCAAGGACAGGGGAGTGGGTGAGGAGCCCCTCATTGCCCGGGTCTAGTTCGAGGGTCAACCAGCAGTCATGTTTTCATGATTACCTCCTTCAACAGTCACGCAGATATCTGGGAGAAACTTCCAGGCAGAGGGAGCAGCTAGGGCAAGTGTCCTGAAGAGGGAGCCTGCGCAGAGTATTCATAGTGCGCAAGAGGCTGGTGTGAGTGAACAGAGAGAGCCAGGTGGAGAGTAGTAAATGTGGCCAGGAGATAATGGGAGGCCAAGGATCTCTAGGCCATCATAAGGAAATTGACTTGTTCATTGGGAGGCCATTGGAGGTTCTTAGCAAGAAAAGACGTGATCTGGCTTAACATTTAAAAAGGATCACTCTGATCTAACAGTTGACTAGGAGAGCAAGATTGGAAGAAAGGAAAACAGGAAGCTGTTGTGGTCACCCATGTGAGAGGTGATACTGGCTTGGACCAGGGTCTTAACAGAGGGAGAGCAGTGTTCAGATTTTAGATCTAGTTTGAAGGTAGAACCCATAGATTTCCTGATGGACTAGCAGAGGGATGTAAGAAAAAGGACAAACAATTCCACAAAACTAAAGTTTAAATGGTCTCGTGATATGTGCTATAATATATTCAGAACAAGATATTGGTCTGTACTTTGAAAATATTCTCTGAAAAAGATATTTTATGAATTCCTATTTGATCCAAAGGTACAGAGTCCAGTATATCTCCAGCCCTGATGTGTGTATTAGTTTCCTAGGGCTGCCATAACAAAGTGCCACAAAATGGGTGGCTTACAACAACAGAAGTTTATCCTCTCACAGTGCTGGAGGCTAGAAGTCAAGCCATCCACAGGACAGCGCTTTCTCCAAAGGCTCTGTAGAAGGAGTCCTCCTTGCTTGTTCCTAGCTTCTGATGTTTATCAGCAATCCTTGGTGATCCTTGGCTTGTAGGTACGTCACTCCAGTCTCTGCCTCCAACATTGTATGGCATTCTCCCTGTTTGTCTCCATCTCTGTCCACGTTTCCCTCTTACAAGGACATCAGTCATTGGAGTAGGGCCCACCCTAATCCAATATGATGTCATCTTAACTTGATTATATCTGCAAAGACCCTATTTCCAAATAAGGTCACATTCACATGTTCTAGGTGGACAAAAACTTGGTGGGGGACATTATTCATCTCAGTGCAGGGTGGAAGTTGGGTTTGGAATTCAATCTAATCATTCCCAGGGCTTCTGGAAAGTATACTGTATGTAGAATGGAGAGACATGCCATCACTTCTGTAACTCTCTATGAACTTTTCTCTCTGTAATGTTAATGCTATAAGGTTCTTAGCATATATCCTCTCATTATAAAGATAATCAAAGTACCTGATGCTGTCCATTGAGCCTTTTGAGGATCTGTTGTATAAATCAGGGGGAATATTTTCCGATTTCAAAGAAGAATGAGACAGAACAATAATTCACTATGTTAATGAACTAAAAGAGAAAAAAAATCATATAATTTCAGTAAATGTAGAAAAAGCATTTGACAGAATCTAACATTTATTCCTAATAAGATCTCTCAGCAAATGAGGAATAGATGAAAAGTTCCTCAATCTTAAAAGGACATCTATGAAAAAGCTACAACTAGCATCACATTTAATGGTGAAAAAATGAATGCATTCCCCCTAAAGTCAGGAAAAAAACAAGGTTGGCTACTGTCACCTCTTCTACTCATCATTCAACTAGTGGCTCTAGCCAGTGCAACAAGGCAAGAAAAAGAAACAAAAGGCATCCAGATTGGAAAGGAAGGAGTAAAATTGTTTTAGTTTGCAGAAGACATGATCATCTATGCAGGAAGTCTTAAGACATCACTTGAAAACTCCTACAGGGACTTCCCTGGTGATCCGGTGGTTAAGACTCTACACTTCCACTGCAGGGAGCGTGGGTTTGATCCCTGGTCCACGTGGGTTTGATCCCTGAACGCTGTGCAATGCAGCCAAAAAATAAATAAAAATAAAAAATAAAAAGCTCCTACACCTAATAAGTGAGTTTAGCAAGAGTGCAGGATATAAAAAAAAAAATTGTATTTCTATATACTAGAAATTGTATTTCTATACACAATTAGAAATTAATATTAAAAACCAATACCATTTACAATAGCATCCAGATATTAAATACTTAGGGGTAAATATGACAAAAATTATGAAAGGCCTATGTACTGAAAACTACAAAATATTGTTCCAAGACCCGAATAAATGGAGAGATATAGCCTGTTCATGAATTGGAAGACTCAATATTATTGAGATGTCAATTCTCCCAAAACATGTCTCCCTAGATTTAAAGCAATCTCAAGCCCTTTTTT